ATAAAGTTTAATAATAATAACAACGTGACATCATTTCTCAACTGCAGGATTGCAAAAAGGAACTGTGAATGAGCAAATCTGCAGTAGTGAAAATAGGCGGCACAGCATTTTGTCACATGCCTCAGACCTGTTGTGTCCCTTTTGGTTCTCTTAAGTGGCCTCAACCAAAGCTTTATACATGTGTTATGGTTGATGATGTAGCACAAGCTTGGACAAAGTGCAACTCCCAGCAGCCATAGTCTGCATGGCCAATAATAAGGAATGCTGGGAATTGCAGTTCAACAGCATCTGGAGTTTGACCCCTGACAACCCAGAGGAAGGCAGCAGGCTGAATTTTTGTAACAAAATGGCCTTTTGCCTGTTTCCACTACTGCAGATAAATTTTACCTGTCTCCAATTGTCAACCCTGGAGGCAAAACAGGGAATGTTCTGCCTCCAGGGTTGACAATTGGAGACAGGTAAATCTCCTTGGGCATCCACTGTGGTTTTCTCAGGCCCCTGGATGTTTCAGAAAACATTGATTCTTAAATGGCAACTTGTGCCATGAGAAACCATTGGAGAATATTATTTGCCATTTTTATGTAATTTCACGCACCCTCACCCTGTTGTGTTTTAGGACAGAAGAGGCCTTTCTTAAAAAATAAAGTGGAAGTGACTCTCTTTATAACACATTTCAGCTAAAATTCTCATTAAAGATTCATGTTTCTGCCCTGCCCTTCCCTGAACTGAACATACCTTCATGTGCTGATGTACTTACTTGCCTACCATTCCCTCTCAAAAACATAGCTCTGGGAGTGTCTTGGAAATATTAGATGATACTGTAGTGTCCAGTTTTTTGTTTGTTGTAGATGAGGAGAAGCTGGATGAAAGAGCCAAACTGAGTGTTGCTGCAAAGAGGTTGCTTTTCAGGGTAAGCATCCTGTGTGTTTCAATATATGAGTTTTTTTTTCTTACCTATTTCACTTTAAGGTGTTAAAGTTTACAAAACAACAAGGAACAAGTGTGTGTGTGTGTGTGTGTGTGTGTGTGTGTGTGTGTGTGTACGAATATCATCATATGTATATTAGAGGCACTCTCGTATGTTTCATTAATCTTGTATGTGAGTTGTCTGTTGAGATCTTGGCACATGAGATACTTTGGTGTGCTATATTTTTGATTGAGTGAGAAAACTTCTGCAACCAAATTTTAAAATTTAAAACAACTTCTGTAAAGTTCAGAAATAGCAGATCAGGATAAATTGATATTATTATCAGATAGAGATATATTAGTCACATTCTGAATGGCAAAGTTTGCCTCTTTAGTTGTTAAATCTAATCCAAAATGCAAATCTAAAATCTCTGTGGCAAATAAAACTGATGAGTAAATTGGGTATCTTACTCTGGATTTCTTTTTATGAATGTTTATTCAAGGTTCTAATGTGTTTTTAAAATTGTTTTAAGAGATTATTTTAACATGCTGTTTATGAACACCATGTATTTTAACTTCCATTATACATTTTATAATATCATACTGCACTGTGACATTTTTGTGGTTTGCTATGGCTTTGTGCTAAAGCAATAAAACTGTTGTTATTTCATTAACCTTTTTGGAAGGTTTTTTTTTCCAAAAAAAAAAAAAGACATGGGGGCATAGAAGATTTGAAAGGGAAATGCCAGTTCTGTGCATTTGTTTCTGGATCTCCTTTAATAAATCAGCATGGTGTAGTGGTTTGAATGTTGGACTAGGACTCTGGAAGACCCAAGTTCAAATCTTTGTTCAGCCATGGAAACCCATTGGGTGACCTTAGAGAAGTCTCACTCTCTCAGCCTCAAAGGACACCAATGGCACAAATCCCCTCTGAACAAATGGTGCTGAAAAAAACTTAGTGAAAACTTGCCTCAGGGTTACCATAAGTCAGAAATGACTTGAAGGTACACAATAACAACAAACAACACAGTGCTTTGTACAACTATCTGAAAGTGAGCCTGACTAAATAAGGTAGGAAAAAACACAGCAAGCCATTTTCAGTTTTGTAAAGGGAGAAGATACCTAGCTGTCTGTCACATTACTATTTCCTTGGTGCATCTTTCTTTTGCTTTCCATATTGAATGTAGACCCCAAATTGAGGGATACTCAAATATAGGAAACTTAGTATAGGAGACCTTTAGTCGTTAGCATATTCATTCTGGTGTACATTTGCTTCTAGGAAATGGAAAGGTCATTTGATGGGAAAAGTATTCCTAAACCACGTTCAAGAAATACTGCCGTAGAGAGGAGACTGAGGCGAATGCAAGACCGGTCACACACCCAGCCTATTACAACTGAAGAAGTGGTCATTGCAGCAACGTAAGTCCTGGAAACATGTTAGCTCCACCACTGTGCTGGCTTTCTAAATTGAGGTTTACATTTCCATTTATAAAATGCTAATGGCTTGATTGTTAGGAAAAGGCTTCTTTGCTAAGGGAGAACTTCTTTGAGAAATGTATGTTAAGGCACAAGACTACTGTTGCATCTGCACTGCAGAGATACTGCAGTTTGACTCCTCTTGTAGTCTTGTGAGATATTTAGCCCTCTCTGTCAGAGAGCTCAGGTGTCCCACCAAACTGCAAATCCCTGGATTCCATATGATTGAGCCATGGCAGTTAAAATGTTGTCAAACTGCACTATTTCTGCCCAAAGCTGTACCCAAAGTTGTATGTAGCTGCTTTTGGAGATGGGGGCAGAGCTTGGGAAAGTTTTTTTGTTTTGGACCACAACTCTCAAAATCCCCAGTCAGCAATTGACTCTAGGATTCTGAGAGTTAAAGTGCAAAGAAACTTCTAAAAGCTCTGGAGGGGATATGGAACAGAATAAACTGCATGAATTGGAACAATGCTTATGGAGCCATAGATGGAGATCTATTATGGAATGTAGTTATTTGAACCTGTAATTATAGAAACTTTCTTCTACTTGTGTTGTTGCAGTATTGATTCCTATCCTGTATTTTTGGACCGCTCAAGGGAATTTTATATTAAAGAATTGTCAAGTATTTTTAAAGGGGGGGGTTGCCAGTTGACATCTTTATGCAGTTAACACTGTTATGCTTTTCTAAATGCTGTTCTCTTCTCTCTCTCCTTGTGAATTTTTCCTTCCCTTGGCTATTTCCTCTTAAATCAACCTAGCCCTGCCTCATGTACTGTGAATACCCACACTGTAGTGGCAAGGATACCTAATCCCACTGTAGTTAAGAGCACTGTACATCCTACCAGGTACTGGGAAGACGCAACTTGCATGCTGTAGGGAGCACAAGGGTCATTGCTAGCAAATGCATCTATAAAATCACATAGTTTAAGTGTGCTGAGCAGTTTGATGGAACATTTAGGAATGTTTTTCTTCCTTCTCACCTTTTGGTTTGGCTGAAAAAGCAACACATATCTTTGCTTGTTGAGTGTTTGATTCAGGAGCTTGTCTTTCCTCACTATCACCACCCCTTTTCTCAACGCTCCCTCCCCTAAAATTTTAGTTCAAGGATGGACAACAGTGGTTCTCCAGATGCTGGAATACAGCTCTAACAATGTATGGAGAGTCACAGTTGCCCATCTATGTTGGGTGTTATTCTCACATATAAAAGAGAGAGAGAGAGAGAAATCAGTTGTACAAATCTGAACAAAGATACTTGCATCATAAAGGGAAGTGAGAAAAACCCAGAGATCACATCTTGCCCCCTTCCTCTATTTCTCTCCAACTTCAACAGCAGCTTACAGAGTTAATGAAAGGATGAGAAATTGCACCACCTATAGGTATAAGCATAAATTCCACAGCTTTCTTTGATTCCATACAGCTCATCTCATTAATAACTGAAAGACAAGAGATGCAAAAGACCATATCAGAAAACAACACTGCAGAAAAACTAACACATACCTGTGGCTTCAGAATGTCTAACAATTATCTTGTGGCCTTTGATTGCATTGTCTAGCCCATTTTGCCAGACATTCATATTTTAAGTTACTTGGAACTACCTAGTGATTGATGAATAGGGGAGACTTTTTATTTAATTTTGCTGCAGGTAGTCAATGTAATGTATCCTTCTGGGTATAAATGGTCCAAACACTAAAACTGTCTACTGGATTTCTTTCTGGCTTTCTGAATGTAGATGGCCCATAATCAAAGAATCTTCTTTCTTTGTTCTCTTTGAAACTGCTTCCCAAACCAACTTCAGGCCCCTTCCTTACTGAGGCACTTATAAGGTGCTCCAGTATTTTAGTACAAGAGAGAAAAAGTTAGTGGAAGTGATGAAGCCAAGGAAGGAGTGGAAATGTTGAAGATCAGTGTAGAGTTTTCTGATGTGAAGTTTTAAGCCTTGTAGCCCCTCTTTAACATTTCTTGTAGCATGATATTTGTTCTAAATAAAGATTGGACTGAGTAAATATCTGTCTTCCTAAGAACATTCAATTTCTTTGTTTAACTGCTTAAATCAGTGGACCAATGGCAGGAACATGGAAAGCTTTCCATGCTGAACCAGACCACTGGTCCATCGAGCTCAATATTATCTACATTATTTGTTTCCAAACTTGGATCTTCAAATGAAGTTGAATCCCACTTCTCAGCATCATGGAACAAAGGCCATGCTGGCTGGGATTTCCAGGAGTATAAAACAATAACATCTGGGACCCATATTAGGGAAGTACTGGTCTACAAAGAGTTGTGCAGCCTCTCCAGAGTTTCAGAGTTTCTAACTGGAGACTCCAGCTCTACCTGGAGATGTGGGAGACTGAAACTTGTACTTTCTGCATGAAAAGCAAGTGGTTCACCACTGAGCTAGTCTTTCTCCCAGAGTATGAGGAGATGTGCTCTGTGTGATCTCTGTAGGCATACCAGGCAATAACAACACCCCTGACAAGTAAATAAATAAAGAGGATACAAAGACAGGAAAAACACAACATAATGATGTTGCTGCCTGTTTTGCCAAGGATCCTAATATGTGCTGAACTCTATGTAGCCCTTATGGAATCACTTACTCCACCATTCCTGCTGCTTCCTCTGTGGCTGCACTGCAGTGAGATGAATATTTTCTATTTCTCCTTTTCTTGTTGGTGTGCTATAGCAAAGCTGCATAAGAAGTTGGAATACTAGAGGGGGTTGTGCATCTGTACCATCAGTGTGATTCACATAGATTTTGGGAGATCCTCTAAGCAATGAGGATAAGTCCAGGTAGCACAGAGGACATCCCAAAGGCCAGAGCTTGAAACAAGTCATAAGTAGCATAGTTACCTGTAATGAGTTATACTCAGGGCACTAATTGTTACATTTTAAAAGTAATGTTAGCAAGTAGGCATAAAGCCATTTTATTGGAGTAAAGACTCACAGTTTCTAGTTTTTACGTTGCTCTTTCAATGAATTTTTAGAAATATTTGACAAGAATTTTAAAAGTTCTGTGGCATTTTCTTCTTAATTCTAAGTCTTTTTCAAGTTACAAACAGTAAAAAAAAATGCAATGGGACAATACAATTATGTACTTAAAATACAAATAAGCAACAGCAACAAATAACTGCCAAAAGTAATGGTTTTAAAATCAACATTTGAAACTCTGTTGGTTCATGGTACAGCCAGATAGAGAACTTGCGTGGAGTATATTCTGGTGTCTATGTGACACCTAGGGATTAGATGCAATGTATAAAAGCCCTAAATAAAATTTTATATGGAATTGCATTTAGTATCTGGGGCAAGGTAGAGAGTGTAGAATAAGTCCTTCTTAGGCCTGTGTTTATGCATGGCTTCCTGCTCCCAATTGATAGAGATGATGCCATTTTTAAGACTGGATAACTTTTGATAACTCTTTCAGGGCAATATATGACTTTCTACAAACACTGATGCTGTGGAAGGCATTGATAAACAAAGTGTGACTACTATTCTGTGTCGGATTAGATTACACTGAACAAATTACATGTACTTAGACTGAGAGCACGTTTTGTTTTTTAGCTTTTCTCATACTTTTTCTGCAGCTTTCTTGATTTTTTTTTCATTATCTGTCTAAAATGCTGGAGAAACATTTATCTTCTTGGCAAAGCTAAGTACCAATTCCCATTTTCACTTTAAAGGTTGCAGGCATCTGTACACCAGAAGACATCAGCTAAAGAAGAAATAAAAGAAGCCAAAGATGCCCTCGAACAAGATCAGTCTGGAGAACCAGACTCTTCCACCCTGACCCTGGCAGAAAAGATGGCCTTATTTAACAAATTATCTCAACCAATAACAAAGGTAGTCTCTACAAGAAGCAGAGGAGACATTAAGCAAAGGAGATCGAAAGCACGATACCAAACTCAGCCTGTCACACTTGGTGAAGTTGAGCAGGTATGTGTTTAGTATATCCTTCAAGCACATTGGTGGTTCTCAAAGTTGTTGGTTGATAGACTTCAGTTCCTGGAAACCTTATCCAGCGTTGTCAGTGGCCACATAGTATGGAAGTTGTTGCCAAAGCATGGGAACTACTGTTTTAGTAGTCCTTTTTATGTTTACACACCAGAAATCAATCACACTGAATTGAGTGCATTTTGCAAACTTGCAAAGAAATGTAGTCCAGGGTGTCATCAAATGTCACCAAATAACCCTTTGATTCATATGCAACATCTACAGATGTAAGCTTGATAAGAAGTGGGCTGCTAGAATGGACAGTACAGTTAGTTCTTTGGGGGTTCCATGGGGGTTCCATTCTTGACCCCCACCCCACAGATAGCAAAAAACATAGTACCTCACATCCTGTTATTCCCAATGATGGTGCGATATGACTGCACTGGCACAACCATG